GCAAATGGATATAAAAGCTACAAAAAAGAAGTAAAGAGCCACAGACGTTTAAATTTTTGCCAAAAATGATTAAACAACACTAAAAATGAATAATTTCAATATTTAGATGACAATTTGGAGGCAGCATCATCCAGTGGATATTAAACTCGTACTGGCTCTGCCACTGACTCCCTGTGTGACCTTGAGCAACTCACCTCACCTCTCTGTACCTCAGTTTCCCCATCTGTAAATTTGGGATAATGAGACTTACCAACTTTTCTGAAATGCGTTTGGATCCATAGATTTAAAGGTGTTAACTATTATTTTTATTGGCTGGGAATGTGGATAAGGCACCCAAATACTACTGAAAATCAGTGGGGCTTGGGTGCCTCATTCCCATAGGTCCCAACAATTCTTATTAAGTGAAATTAAATACGGTACAGTAGAGTTGGGCATAAGCCATGGGATATGAATCTTGAGCCAAACTTTCTCTGGGTTTGAGGATGTTTGCATCCAGAGTACTGGTTCATCTTTAAAATGTGTCAGAATAATGAAATAAGGATTAAACCGGTCTTTCACCCAGCATGAATTTATTACTGATGAATGGTGCAGGACTAATGCCCTATTGAGTGAAGCCTACTTTCCATTCACAGAATAGCTATATTACAGGTAAACAGCAGTGCAACCTTCCCCCCATATTTACCCACCAACAGGGTCCTCAACCATTAAAGGAAATGTGAAGAGGTGAATTTAGTTCCCATAACCTATTTGGTCCTTGAGTTCTCTGCTGAGACTGTCAGCGAAGGGGTGCACTTAGTGCTGGGTGTGGTTTTGTGATGTGGATACCTGTCTACTAGGGATTGGATTGAAACCCACCAAAACTCTTTTCACATGGACCACGAGACAGCCAACAGATAAGCACTTTCAATCACTACCAGGTTGGGCTGAATTCAAACTGGCAGATAGAGGTGAAAGACTATATCCCATTAACAATTCTCCGAGTTATGTAGTCCCCATTAAAGCAGACTTGTATTTAGCCCAGGGAATGCATTGGTCATAATCTCACACTCACAGTCTTGACCCAGTAGAGGTCAACAAGGAAATCTATTATGTCCAGTTGAATCTGTAACTCTAGAATGCAGCAATTAAAATGAATTTGGTATCGAAATGCCATCTGATGGCACAAGTTATGAGCTAAGGTACATTCTTACTCTTTGTGTACTAGTGATTGAATAGCTTAGGTAACCTGTGCAAAAACATGGGGGTTGTTAGAAGAAGACTGCATATTCTGAATGCATCTGGGTTCTTTATCTTACTAAAACAGATGAGGAGGTGGGAAGCAAAGCAAACAGAGACAAAGCACTCTCAGGAATGTATAAAAGGAAGCAAATAAGCCATTCAGAGGAATGTAGATAAGTGTTTCTTCTCTGTTAAAGAGAAAACCGGCCCTGTGAAAGCTGTGTGTATATTTTGGAGTATTGATAGCATGGCTTCTAACACTGCACATTGCCATGGTAACAAATCCACGGCTCTGACTTCATGGGTATGACACACACCTAAATTTCAGGGTGACACTGGGGATACAACTCAGACCATGTGAGAGCACAGGCCCATACTGACAGCAACTGTGGTAACTGACCGGACACTGACAGGATAGTAACCTTTTGTAACCCTGAATGAGGACAGGTGACTGGGACCAGGAAATCGATATACTTCTTACCAGCCTTTTTTTATTACAGTTGCAAACCGAGTATTTTATTTTAAAAGCCTTCCTGCATGAATGAAGGCCCAGCAACGAGCAGAGGTGGGGAATCAGAGAAAGAGGCTGAACCAAAGGGTGGCAATAGGCAGGACCAGTTCTGAACTAGCTTAATGCAGCTCTTAACCTTGTAACAGGTACCTAGATGCTGTGTTGACAGCTACTGTTACAGCAGAGTGCTCTGAAAATGGTCAGGCTTGGGCTCGTTGTGATCTCTGGTGTGGAGTTTCACTGCTGTCCCAAGAGTTTTGCCCTCAGATCAATCAGTTGTATTATTACTTGTATTATACCAACAACATGGTATGTGCTTTAGATAGGTAGGACGACAAAGCTACTATCCCAAAGAGATCACAATAGATCTGATATAATTACCTGGCCCCCATCAATGCAATATCTGAATGCTGCACATCTTTAATGTATTTGCTCTCACAATGACCCTGTGAAGAAGGGAAGTGGTATTATCCCCATTTCAATAATAGAGAAACAGGCACAGAGAAACTAAGTGACTTCCTCAAAGTCACACAGGAAGTCTGTGGTAGAGATGTGGGTTTCTCGCGGCCCAGGTTAGCACTGTACACGCTAGACTGGCCTTCCTTCCATCCATCTAGATAGTATCCATAATGATACTATTGTGTTCAATTGTCTTGGTGGGCTATGGATGGGTGCCTATTTGTAACAGTAGTATTGTGCTGGTGATGCTGGAGAGGTGCAGAGCTGCTGATGCCTCATGGAAAGATTTTGACCCATTTAATTTCACCATCCTTGATGTAACTCTACTGACAAATTTCCTCCACTGATGACTTGTAGCAGAGATGAAATCCCTCATTTTAGACAGTTTCTATTTCTTATCGTCTAGTATCACTGAGGATGTTTGTGGGAAATCAGGAAGATTTGTTGCCAACAAGTTTATCCAGTGCTGCTGCTTTATCCTCTACGTGTCTTATCATACTCTCTTGTGACATCATGACCAGTCACATGCAGAGAGGAGCCATGACCGAGGTATTAAGCAGCAGAAGCAGACAAACTTGTAAATGATGGCTGGGCTTTCCTGCAAGCCTCTGTAAGTATTAGGTGAAAGGTGGGGTGGAAAGGCAGTGCAGTATTTAAAACACCTTTATCCAAACTGCCTGTGGATTAGGTTTCAGGTTTGTGGAACAAAAATCCACCCCTGTAGATCTTTTTCCCCCTTTTATATAGTCCCTCGTTTGTATTTTTTTCTAAATTTGGAATACAATATCAGTGAGCTAGCAATAACTTTTTCTCCATAGAATACTTTTTTCTGTTTCCCTGGGACAACAGCAGCAGTGTATTGTACGATTGTATTTACAGCAGGACATGTCTGTATTGGTTACAGATGGGTGTGAGTGCACAATTTGGGTCTGGAGCTAAGTGTCCCTCCAGCTTAAGGGGGTTCAGATCCCAGACTCTATTTTGGCTAGGGTTACCATTCGTCCGGATTCCCCCGGACATGTCCGGCTTTTTAAGCTAAAAATAGCGTCCGGGGGGAATTTGTAAATGTCCGGACTTCCCCCTGATGCAGAGCACGTGCGGCTAACAGTGCTGCCGGCCGGACGGTGTCACTTACATGGGGCTCGACACTCAGCCACAGAGGGCTCCTCCTCCTCCCTCCCTCCCTCCCTGCATCGCAGATCGGCTCCGGCAGTCTGGAGCTCCTCCCCCCACTGCTGCCCAGCGGCTCAGGCAGTTCCTGAGCAAGTTCACCGAGACATTAGGTGAAGAAAGGCCAACAACAAGGGGGCCAGGGGGTTGGAGAAGGGGCAGGGAGGTTTTGGAGGGGGCAGTCAAGAGACCGGGGGGGGTCGGGAGTTCGGGGGGGGGGGCTTTTTGGGGGTGTGGAGAAGGGTTTGGGCAGTCAGGGTACAGGTAGGGGGGAGGGTCCTAGGGGGCCAGTTAGGATGGGGGGAGGGTCTCAGGAGGGGGCAGTCAGGGGACAAGAGGCAGGGAGGCTTAGGTAGGGGGTGGAGTCCTGGGGGGCAGTTAGGGGCAGGGGTCCCAGGAGGGGGCAGTCAGGGGACAAGGAGCAGGGGGAGGGTTGGGGGTTTTGAGGGGGGGAAATGGGAGGGGCAGGGGCGGGGCTAGGGCAGGATGGGCCGGGGCTAGGGCAGGACAGGGGCGGGGCTCCTCCCGTCCTCTTTTTTGCTTGCTGGATTATGGTAACCCTAATTTTGGCCCCGCCTCTAGCATGTCCACAGAGCTTTTTCAAATAATTTTCCAAAGAAGGAGTGTGATGATGCAAAGCCACAGCCTCATGCTACTGTGTCCCGGCCTCACGAGGCAACATGTGTGGGCATTATGCCATGCTAATGGGATGCCCCCTGTCTGTTGTCACCATGGTGCAGCGTGAGGATGTGATGTCAGTGTGAGGATTAGGGTTACCAACATTGTATTTCAAAAATAAAGGACTCTTTTCTTAGCACCCCTCCTCCAAATATCATCATCATCATCATCAATAACAACAGTAATAATGAATAATAAGCAGGACTCACCTACCTGCGCCAGGGGTATTTCTTGCTGTTTGTTGCAGGGCTCAGCTTGTTGTACAGCGATGATGCAACACAGCAGCTTGGGTCACAGCTCCCTGTCATTCTATGATGTCACCCCCGTGGGACTGTGATGTCATGCAGTGTGACGTCACTGCAGCATTGTGATGCTGCCCCATTCAATGGGGGGGTCTGGGCCGGCGGGAGGGGGCCGAGGATGCCCCAAGTAGGACTTCCGGGCCAGGCGAGCGCAATGCATGCCGGACTAGGCACACTGGCTCTAGCCAGGCCTCGAAGCCTCACCGTTTCCATGGTAACCTCCCTTTTATCCCCCTCCCCACCCGCACGTTGCTCACGTGACCCGCGCAGCTGGCGCTCACGTGATGTTTGGTTGCCGCGAAGCTGTTTCCGGGTCAGGCCTCAGTGCAGGACGCGGCGTCAGGGCGGGGGAAGAGCGGGGCCGGGTGAGAGCCGGGGCCGAGATTGGGAAGCCGGGGCCTGCGCGTCCCAACCCCCCCGGGGTGTGGGGCGGGGGGCCCCCAGTGTCCCGCAGGGCGCCCCATGGCGCTGGGGCTCTGAGTGGCTGAGCTGTCCAGGGCCTCCTCGCAGCGGGCGGGGGCTGCGCTGCCCTGGCCCAGGGCACTGCGCCCCGGGTGTCCCCTGGGCTGTGCCCAGGGCTCCTGCGAGGTGGGGGGGGGAGGGCACTGGCTGCACAACCCTGGGGGGGGGGGGCCCCCCCCCCCCCCCCCCGGGTCCTCAGGCGGGCTGAGGGTGCTGTGGCCCTGATGGGCGCGGGGGGGGGATGCGGAGTGACTCTGGATCCGGTGATTCCTGACTCTGGCGAAGGCCGGGGCCGAGGGGCCTGGGCGGGTTGTGAGAGAAAAAGGGAAGGTTTTTCTTCGGACCTTCCGTGAAACGCCTTTAATGCCCGGTTGCACCTTGAGAGTTCAAATATAAGCCAGTTTCATTTAGATGCATCTTTGGTTTTGTGTTTTTTTTGCCCCCCCTGAGGCTGAGCACCACTAGTCAAGTGCATGACTGTCCTAGATATTGGCTTATTTTCACTACATCATGGAGAAGAAAAAGTGATGCATGTGATTTAAAAAAAAAAAAGGGTATGAGGTTCAGTTAAACTCAGCTGTGTATTAACTTCTTACCGGTTTTGGCTGTACCTAATATGTGCTATAATAATCTGCACTTCTCCCACCTTAGAATCAGAAATGTGGGACAGGAAGGAACCTCGAAAGGTCATCTAGTCCATTTCCTGCACCCCCCTCGCTGAGGCAGGGTTAAGTATATCTGGACCATCCCTGACAGGTGTTTGTCTAACTAGTTCATAAAACCCCCAAAAGGATATGAATTCCACCACCTCCCTTGGTAACCTGTTTCAGCAACAAGCTTTTTAACTATAAGACTAGTTCATCTTAATATCCAACCTACATCTCCCTTGCTGCAAACTAAGGTGACTACTTGTTCTAGCCTTGGTGGACACAGAGAAAAATTGATCACCATTCTCTTTATAATAACCTTTTATGTATTTGAAAACTCAGCCTTCAGTTAAACTAAGCATGCCCATTTCTTTCAACTTTTCCTCATGGATCATGTTTTCTAAACCTCTTATCACTTTTGTTGCTCTCTTCTGCACTCTCTCCAATTTGTCCACATCTTCCTTAAAGTGTAGTGCACAAAACTGGGACATGGTACTCCAGCTGGGGCCTCACTAGTGCTGAGTAGAGTGGATGGAACAGTTACCTGCTGTGTCTTATATATGATACTCTTGCTAATACATCTCAGAATGACATTTGCCTTTTTTTTCCCCACGACAGCATCACATTGTAGACTCTTATTCAATTTGTGATCCTATATAACCACTGGATCCTCTTCTGTAGTACTGCTGCCTAGCCAGTTATTTTCTATGGTATTTTATCTTTGTGCGTTTGAGTTTTCCACCTGAAGTACAGTACTTTGCACTTGTCATTCCTGAATATCATCTTATTGATTTCAGGCCAGTTCTCCAGTTTATCAAGATAAATTTGAATTTTAATCTTGTCTTTGAAAGTGCTTGCAAATCCTCCCACTTTGGTGTCATCTGCAAGCTTTATAACCATACTCTCCACTCCTTCATCCAAATTGCTAATGAAAGTATTGAATAGTGCCAGACAGGACAGATCTCTGAAGGGCCCCACTTAATATGACTTGCCAGTTTTACCGTGAACTATGATAGCTACTTGGTCTTTCAACCATTTATCACCCACCTTATAATAATTTCATCTAGACCATTTTTCCCAAGGTTACTTCTGAGAATTTCATGTGGAACTGCACCAAGAACCTTACTGAAGTCCATATATATTATATTATATATATATATAATCACCTCTACTGCTTTCCCCCATCCACTAGGCTGGTTACACAGGCAAAGAAGGAAATTACATTGGTTTGACATGATTTGTTCTTGACAAATCCAGTTGGCTATTATTACCATGTTTTTGTTCTCTAGGTTTGAACAACTTGCTTGTTGCTCCCTCCCTCCAAAGATTTCAGTATACTTTATAACATTTAACTCAAGAAACCTGTGTGCCTTAGATCACTGGAATGAAAGCATAAAAGTCTGATATACATTTTGCTTCCCTTGGTTTGTCTTTTTTTGTATTTCATTGGCTGGGATGAATGTTTCACTCTGGTTACTAGTCAGTTTCACTTTCTGGGTCTCTTACACTTAGCATATAGTTATTGGTTGAGTTCACAACACTTTAGAGCAGGGGTAGGCAGCCTATGGCACACATGCCAAAGGTGGCATGGGAGCTGATTTTCAGTGGCACTCTCAGTGCCTGGGTCCAGGCCACTGGTCTGGGGGGGCTCTGCATTTTAATTTAATTTTAAATGAAGCTTCTTAAACATTTTAAAAACCTTATTTACTTTACATACAACAATAGTTTAGTTATATATTACAGACTTATAGAAAGAGACCTTCTAAAAACATTAAAATGTATTACTGGCATGCGAAACCTTAAATTAGAGTGAATAAATGAAGTCTCAGCACACTACTACTGAAAGGTTGCCGATCTCTGCTTTAGAGGAAGGTTTAAATCCAGAAAAACACTTTTCATTGACATTTTTAAAATATCATGGGTACCTTTTCAGAGTAGGTTTTGTAGTTATTTCCACATTAACACACACACAAAAATCTGAATTTTGGATCTAAAACTAGATGTCCTTTTAATCAGCTGTGTAAAAATGCTCACAGTGCAAATTATCATGTCATGCCATTGTATGTGTGAGACATGATTTGAAAATACCATATGTTGTCCTTGCATTTTCTGTGAACCCTTTATTATTAACCCTGACTATTTTGCCATATTGATGCATACTTGCATGGTAGAACAGTGGTGCAGCTTTGGAAAATGCATCTAGAATGATTATGACTAGTGTTAACTGTTCAGGAATGGAATCGAATGGAATTGGGAAAGATGCATTTTGAATTGGGAAAGTTACTCAGACCCTAAGCTTGCTGTCCTCTGGAGACAAAATTGGTTTACTAAGCAAAAAATTCAGTATGAACTGTGTGTGAAATATTTCTGTTTTCTTTTCCAGTGTTGTATTGAGGTGACTTTCTCATGTGGAATTTACCAACCGATGTTAGCTCAGTGCATGAACAGCGGTGGAGTTGACTAAAAAGCAAAGTAAAGGAGAGAGCGCTTTATGGGTGAGTGAATTTCTTTTGTTTAAAAACTTAGAATTTTAAAAGGTCTAACACAGAAGGTCTGATTGCATGTTTGGAAGCAAATATCTGTCTCTTCTGAGTGACTGAGCTACAAGTGTATGTTAAGATCAGGGCATTTCAGCCCAAAGCCTTGATTGTTAGCATGTATCATCACTGCAGCATATTGTGCATTTCAACATGAAATGTATTTTTTGAGAGAGAGGGACCCTTCCTTGAGTGTTGCCATTCACAAACACTACACATTGTACCACTCAGATGAAGCTGCCTCGGGGGAAGGAGTGTGCGCCAAATGGGTGATCAGCCTCATGTGGTGAGAGTACTTAAAAAGAAAAAGTGGAGGAGGAGGACAAAGTGGCAAACTCTTACACAAATGCCATGGGGGCTTTAATGTCCCCACAAATGGAATTACAGCAAAAGATACTTTTATTCCCATTATATGTTGTGTTGTACTATGTACAAAAATCATTCCCAGAGAGTAGTTATCAGTGGTTCATAGTCCTGCTGGAAGGGCATAACGAGTGGGGTCCTGCAGGGATCGGTTTTGTTCAATATCTTCATCAATGGTTTAGATAATGGCATAGAGCAGAGGTAGGCAAACTACGGCCCGCGTGCCACAGCCCGTGGGACCATCCTGTCTGGCCCTTGAGCTCCTGGCCAGGGAGGCTAGCTCCCAGCCCCACCCCTGTCAGGGGGTGGGGGATGTGGTTAGGGGTTGGGGCAGTCAGGGGACAGGGAGCGGGGGTGGGGAGGATGGATGAGGGTGTGTCCCCCACGGGGGGGCGGTTAGGGGCAGGGGGTTCTGGGAGGGGGCGGTCAGGGGACAAGAAGCAGGGGGGGTTGATGGGTCGGAGGTTCAGAGGGGGGCAGTCAGGGATGGGAGGGGGCAGGGCCAGGCTGTTTGGGGAGACACAGCCTTCCCTACCTGGCCCTCCATACAGTTTTGGAACCACGATGTGACCCTCGGGCCAAAAAGTTTGCCCACCCCAGCATAGAGAGTACACTTATAAAGTTTGCGGATGATACCAAGCTGTGAGGGGTTGCAAATGATTTGGAAGATAGGATTAAACTTCAAAATGATCTGGACAAACTGGAGAAATGGTCTGAAGTAAATAGGATGAAATTCAATAAGGACAAATGCAAAGTAGTCCACTTAGGAAGGAACAATCAGTTGCACACATACAAAATGGGAACTGACTGCCTAGGAAGGAGTACTGTGGAAAGGGATCTGGGGGTCATAGTGGATCACAAGCTAAATATGAGTCAACAGTGTAATGCTGTTACAAAAAAAGCAAACATCATTCTGGGATGTATTAGTAGGAGTATTGTAAGCAAGACACGAGAAGTAATTCTTCCGCTCTACTCCGCGCTGATTAGGCCTCAACTGGAGTATTGTGTACAATTCTGGGCACCACATTTCAGGAAAGATGTGGACAAATTGGGGAAAGTCCAGAGAAGAGCAACAAAAATGATTAAAGGTCTAGAAAACATGGCCTATGAGGGAAGATTGAAAAAATTAGGTTGTTTAGTCTGGAGACGAGAAGACTGAGAGGGGATAGAACAGTTTTCAAGTACATAAAAGGTTGTTACAAGGAGGAGGGAGAAAAATTGTTCTTCTTAACTCCTGAGGATAGGACAAGAAGCAATGGGCTTAAATTCCAGCAAGGGCGGTTTAGGTTGGACATTAGGAAAAACTTCCTAACTGTCAGAGTGGTTAAGCACTGGAATAAATTGCCTCGGGAAGTGGTGGAATCTCCATCATTGGCAATTTTTAAGAGCAGATTGGACAAACGCCTGTTAGGGATGGTCTAGATAATACTTAGTCCTGCCTTGAGTGCAGGGGACTGGACTAGATGACCTCTCGAGGTCCCTTCCAGTTCTATGATTCTGTAGCACAAGGCTTCTGAATCCCTACCGAGCATAACTTATCTTTTATAGAATGGTGGTGGTAGGTTTGGGTCGTCTCACTGTTTGATATTTAATTCCTTTGTGATAGAGGTACTCTAACAGTTTGTGACCAGAGATTAATCATCCAAGGAAAAGCAAAGTCATGGTCTCCAAACAGATCATTCACAGCAGAGGGGAAATCTATGCAGCAGATGTTTTCCTTTTCCTTTCATAATCTGCCATTCATCTCCACCTATAGTGGAACTAAGGAAGAGTTAATTGCAGTGGGGATGGGACATAGACACAGTCTTCCGGTTAGGTAGAGGGAAGGCAGATTCTTGGAGCTCACAGATTGATGAAGAGAAATGTACAAGCTTGAGTTGACCTTTCTGTCAGTAATAGAAAATAGTTAATTATTTATACCTTACTTGGAAAACTCAGACACCAGTGGCCCAATTTTGACCTCATTTATGCTTGTTCGACTGCATTTCAGGGAATTTAGGAGAATAATTTTAGGCAGCTTTTATATGATAGGATTTCTTTTTGGGGGGAACTTTATAGCCCTGGTCCTGAAAACATCATAATAATACCTAGTCCTTATTGTTTTTCATTAATAGATCTCAAATTGCTTTAAAATGGAGCTCAGTATCATTTCTCCATTTTTTACAATTAGGGAAACTGAGGCACAGGAAGGTGAAGTGACTTGCCCAAGTTCTTCGAGAGGCAGAGCCAGGAAGAGAACCCAGATCTCCTGAGTTCCCGTCCAGTGCTCTAAATGCTAGACCACAGTGTCTTGACGTGGTTTATCAAGTTGACTTTAGGCAGTGCCGTATTCTTTGTTTGATTTGCCTTGTTTGGCAATCAAAACAGCTGGCTACTTGTTTTTTGGTTAAGTTTAGCCACAATGAAAACTTGCCGTTGCTCAGCTTGTTCCTCACCCTGCATGCAGTTATGAGAAGCATTTGCAGACTCTTTGAAAGGATGAGACGGCAGTGTTTCTTTTAAAAAGACACAGTCCTGAAACAAACAGGATGTCCTCAGAGACTTTAGAGAGGAAAATAATCCTTAGCACTTCTGTATTGTTCAACATCTTCAAAGCGCTAAGTCACTGTAGACCTGTGCCCTGGGCTGTTAAAATCACTAGTCTTTCTGGATTTCTTCTCATCCAAGATGCCTTGCAGGCTACATTTTAGGATGCGGAGGCTGTATTAAGGCCCTTATGCTGTGCAGTTCCCTTGACTTAATGAAACACAATTTCTTTTTATCATAAATATTATGAAATGTTCAGAGCCCTGGGTAAGAAATTAGGACAGATGAGCTAACTTCTATCTGGGGTACGTGTAGAATGCCAGTCACCATAGTATCTAAGCACTGAGTAACTGCCAGCCGACATTTGATACTATTCTGTAAAGGTCAGCAAACCACAATACACAAAGCCCTTTGATTTGGCATATAAAGAGCCTCTGCTTTGTAATTTCCATGTTACCTTGCTTCATGTGGTGCATAAATATCCCAGTGACATGCATCTTCGATATACATTAGGGAGTTGCAAAATTGAACTAGCGAGATTTTTTTTTTTTTTATGGCTGGCTGAGCAATTTCTTCATGTGTTTGTGCTATTGATTCATGGCACAGTCTTAACATCCTAATCAAAAGCCTGTATCTTTCCATCCTTTCTCCATGCCTGGGTAGCAGTCTCAGTTTAACGCCTTTGGAAATGGTCAGCTGAAAAAGGCTGATCTTTTTCACGCTAAAACTTGCTGTGAATGAGGCACTGTTGTCTAGGATGATGGGTGCCCTAGACATACCTAAAATAAATAGTTTGAGTTAGAGCCTGTACCCTATGGTTCTGGTCTAAGCTATGCCAGAGTCCTGTGACTGAGCAAGTCACACACCTCTCTGCCTTAGCTTCCCCATCTGTAAAATGGAGATAACACTTACCTGCCTTACAAGAGCATTATGAGGATTCATTAATGTTTGTGAAGTACTCTGCAGTCCTTGTGGGGGAAAAAGCTGTTTTGTCATGGGCATGATTGTATTAATCTCTTTGGAATTCTAACTACTGTGTTTTGTGGGCTTAAATAATAGCTATGCGTTGTTTCTCTGGGTGTGTAATAACTATCTTATGCGGACTAATGATTATAATATTTACATAGCGCCATTCATTCTGACACGTCCCAATGCATTTTAAGAACTATATGCATGTGGCATCACTGAAATGCAGCCACTTCTGGGGTGGAGCATGTCAGCCAGGCAGACAGCATGCTGCATAACTTTGGGGTTGGGGATTTTAGCCAATGACCCCGAGACAGAGCTTTAAATTAAGTTCCATGGGATCGTAAATGTCCATACAGAGCAGGCAGGATTTTAAATTATATGGTCTTGTTTAAAACATCCCTGCACAGTAAACTTCATGGAAGTCGGTGTTATCCCCTTTGAAGCGATGAAGGTCTGAGTTGACTCTGTCAGGATTCAAACCTGTTGATCCAGGGAATCTAGGAAGTGTTCACGGTTACTGATAAGATCAATTAGCAGCCCTTTTCTGCTGTGGGTCACTGTCTTGAGGAAGTGCCTGGTAGTATTTCAGGGTGCTTGTGCTTGGAAGAGCAAAATATATGGTGGTATACTCTGTTTACAGCCAAGCTGTCCTTAGCTTTTTAAAAAATTGTCCGTTACTTAAGGAAGTGTAGCATAAGATTCACTGCTGCCTTCTGGAGATGAGCTGATTAGCAGTGGATTGTGTATATTATCTGTTGTTTTCTGCATTAACTGTAGAATTCCAAGAAGGGATCATGGACCAGCCCAGCGGAAGGAGTTTCATGCAAGTTCTTTGTGAGAAATACAGCCCCGAGAACTTCCCATATCGTCGAGGTCCTGGAATGGGGGTGCATGTCCCAGCAACGCCACAGGGATCACCTATGAAAGGTAGGGTTCCTCCTGGATCTGTGCATACAGGGGCTTGAGGGCAGGATCATTTCATCCCATAGCTCAGGGGTTCTCGACCTTTTTCTTTCTGAACCTCCCCCCCATACCACATGCTATAAAAACTCCCCGGCCCAGCTGTACCATGACAACTGTTTTTCTGTATATAAAAGCCAGGGCCAGCATTAGGGAGAAGCAAGCAGGGCAGTTGCCTGGGGCCCCACACCAAAGGGGGCGTCGCAAAGCTAAGTTGCTCAGGCTTTGTCTTCAGTGCCAGGGGCTCGATGCCCTGGGCTGCAGTCCCATGTGGCAGGGCTTCAGCTTCCTGCTCTGAGCTCTAGCGAGTCTAACGCTGGCCATGCTTGGCGGACCCCCCAGAAACCTGCTTACGGCCCCCCCCCCCAGGGTGCCCCAGACTCCTGGTTGAGAACCAAGCTTTTACTCATCCAGGAGGAAAAATCCTACTGAATTACCAAACCAAATAATCACACTTGTGTTGCTGTATGGCTTGTATCACTATTGTATTGCTTCTCGGCTCTTTGAGCTCTGGTCAAGTGTTGTATACTGCAGTAGGGCCCATAGTCCCCGGGTAGGATCGGGGCACCGTATAGACACACGCTGCTAGCCTGGCATTGTCCACAGCAGCAACTTGAAATTGAACAGGCTACCAGGATTGGATCAAAGGTGCTGGGGCAGGTTTCTAGGCATGAACCTGGGAGCCAAGAACTCTTGAGATGTAGTCCCAGCCCTGCCCATCCTCTCTGGCTTTGGGAATATTACTTCACCTCCATTTCCTCATCTGTGAAATCCAAATTCTTGCTCATTTCAATTGCCCAGAGGTTAATTAAAGCTCCTAATTACTGGCAGGGGGATAGTTGCTGAAAAATTAGTTTGACTCTCCCCACCCCACTCTACTGCCAGTTGGAAAGAATTGTGGCCCAAGGTTCTCCTGCCAATAAAGTAAAGCCCTGTACAGCGCTGAGATCCAGGGAGGAAAACTCTGCCCAGCTTGTCCCCATTTCAGTCATTCTTCTGTGGCTGCAGCAATGTGTACTTGGCACAGGTGTCTTAAACATTTTAAATTACTCTGGATTCCACCCGGCACAGCTGTTATGTATTTTCTGGGCCCAATCCAGTAACATCCAGAGTGCCTTCAGCTCTGATTTGAAGTCTATAGCAGTTAAGGGGGTTTAGCACATCACAGGTTTGGGCCCTTGGTCAAGCAGAATCACAATGACTTCAGTCTTTTATGCCATGTGAGGTTGCTTTCCTGTTTACTTTGTGATGCCTGTTCGATGCAAAGACTAGGTCTACTAAGAGACATTGCACCAACACCCTAAAGAAATGCCCCTTTCTCCTTGCCCAATATCCTAACTGCCTTGGGGCTGATCCAGAGATGCATGTCCCCTGGTATAGGTTTTCTATTACCCCCCCCCACACACACACACACACACCCCTACCTACACCACCTTCCAGGATCCATAAGATAAAAATCCCTATATCCAAAGTCTTTAGCTAGAACTGGGTCAACTTTACCACCTTTTATCTAATCTTTCCCCACACTCTGAGAGAGTTGGATTTGGTTCACTTTTTATTCAAACAACTTATGGTTTGGGATTTAGCAAACCAGAGCCACCACTTATTTGTTAACCTCTTGCCCATCTCTAGTTGAGACTATAGTTTAAATTCCCATCAGGTTGATTTGTATCATAAGCAGCCCCAAAGGGGGGAAAAACGAGGAAATTCACTGGGCGAAAATGACAATAAGTGGGTTTGACAGAAGAGAACAAAAGTGAGAGAATTCAGTCAAGGACAGAATGTACCATATGTCACTCAAAGTTAACCTCAGTAGAGAACCATCTAATTTTCAGTGTGCCTTCTTTTATTTATATTATAGATATATAGATAGCTACAGAAGCTAACAAGAGGGTCCCTGTCCATATGTTCTAGGCACCCCTGACATAATTTATTTTTAAGTTACAAATAATACCATAATTACAGCAGTAGAATTTAATATAACTTCCCATCAATGAGCTAGGTAACGTCAAATCGCCTTCCAATAATCCCCTACTCTTACAGTTCTTCTCTTGTCCAATAACTGTCAAATACCAGGAGGGAGAAGGGGGTAGGGGAAAGAGATTTTTATGAAGATAATCTCTTATTTTGTGCGTATGATCAATAGATCTCAAAGTGCTTTATCAGAGTGGGTAAGAAAAAAAGTACATTGCGTTTGACACTTGTAAGATATGGTATGTTTCATCCACATGCTGAATTTCCCTGTTGAAATAGCTTATTATTATAAACCAAACATTTTTAGAGAGAATTCTTGGCAGTGGAAATTCCACCATGAGAGGCAGCATAATGTAGTAGTCACAACACAGAACTGGAAGGCAGTTTCTATTTCTGGCTCTGCTTCTGACCTTTGTGTCTTAGGGCAAGTAACTCATGGCCTAATTTTTCTGAAGTGCTAGGAACCTACAATTACAATTAACTGCAATAGGATGTCTGGGTACTCATCACCTAAGAAAATGAGGCTGTGAACTTTTTTATGTCTGATAAAATAGGCATAATAGCTGCATCACAGTGAAGTTCTATTAAGCAAAAGGACTCTCTCAGGTCAAATTTAAGCCCAGGTTTAATTTTGTAATGTTATACAACAACCAAGCTTTTACAAAACCTAAGAGCAATACAAGTGCTACCTTGATTTTTTTACAAAAAAAAAAATAAAAAAAAAATTCAATGGAGGCAGTTTTTAAGGAAACCTTCTTTTGCCATATTTGCCACTGACATTTTGCAGCCTTGTGCTAAAAGTAAAATTGATTAGAAACTGACTATAAACTAAAATGGAACTGACCACTGTGTTTTCATTGAGATAGGTGAGAGAAAATGCAAACATCATAAATAGTGAAATTACTTCACATTTAGTTATCTGTTTTAAAATGTATGATTTTAATCTGACTTGCTTGAGAAATGTAAATCATTATACAACTACTAAATTATTGATTAATCCCTTCCTTTTGCTGGATTTCATACTTGTGTTTGTTCTTTGATGAGACTAAGGGATGATCTTCTATAGCTGGGAAAACATGAGACTGAGGGGAAGGCATCTTGTTCCTCCCCCATTTCAGATCGCCTCAACCTTCCAAGTGTGTTGGTGTTGAACAGCTGTGGAATAACCTGCGCAGGAGAGGAGAATGAAATTGCTGCCTTCTGTGCTCATGTGTCTGAGCTGGATCTCTCTGACAACAAACTTGACAGCTGGCATGAGGTAAAGTGATTACACCTGTGCCTTGCTAAATGGCAACAATAACTGCTCTTATCACTGTATTTATAGTGCTAGATCTCAGATCTTCTCAGTCATTTCAAAGTAGTTAAATGTGTCCATTTTAGAGTGTTGTAGTTCACATTAGAAGATCATGTTTATTGCTCTGTAGCTGTCAAAGTAAATAAACTTGATTGCTACATTCAGGGTATGTCTACGTTAAACGCTACAGCAGTAGTGTAGACACATACTACAGCAATAGGAGGGGTTCTTCTGTCGCTATAGTAAATCCACCTCTCTGAGAGGCAGTAGCTAGGTTAACAGAAAAATTCTTCCATCGGCCTAGTGGTGTCTCTGCTGGGGCTTAGGTCAGCATAATTACATCCCACAGGGCATGACGTTTTTCCGTAGCCCTGAGTGATATAGTTAAATCAACCTGACTTCATAGCATAGACCAACCCTCAGGCATTTAACTCACTTTCCTTAGTAATTTCTGAACTCATCTTGCAGGTGAAAAATATACTTTCCTTCCGTGCAAAGCATTGGAACGATCATTCCATGCACCAAGAGGTTAATGAGCAATATAGATCATTAACAGAAGGAGTGCAATCAGAAGAGTTTGAGCAGGGGACTGGCAGCTGAGACTCCTGAGTCCTATTCCCAGTTCTGCCACTGATTCTGTATGATTTGGGAAAGTTAGAAATCCTCTCTGTGCTTCAGATTTCTCCTCTTCAAAACAGGATTAATAATGCTCGTCTACCTCACAGGCGACTTGTGAAGTTTCATTAATTAATTAATTAATGCTTGTAAAGGGCTTCGAGGTGCTTGGATGAAATGCACTATATAAATGCACTATAGTAGTAGTAGAATAATTAGAGTACATTAAACTGTCTTGTGTCTTCCCCTGCTCATGCTCTGCTTTTATCCCACTGTTAATTACTGGAAATTGAGATGAAACAGATGAACTGAAGTCTAACCTTATTTTAAAAAAAATTATTTTAAAATATTTCCTAATCACTAAACAAGAAGTGGATATAGTATTGATGTAAGTCTTCTGATCACAGAACAGATCTGCTAGGCCAGGGACAGCATAAGCTTTCCCGTGCTGCTTTTCGCTCAGCACTTACCTGGAGGGGCCCTTTCTGTGGGTTAGGATAAGAGTTCAGTTTCCAAGGGGCTTGTTCAGATTCTATGGCGACTGCCAACTTAAGAGTCCATTTGTGCTAGCTGTGATGATGATCTTGTGGTGGCGGCACGTGGTCACTAGGAACAGGAGTGAGAGCACCAGCAGCTCATTTTATGTTGGCCCCTGAAAGTCCACCAGTGGGTAACTTAGTTTCTATCAATCTGGTCTGTTTTAGTGCTTATTTGTGGTTGTGCTCATTTTAGTTGTGAAACATCTTCTAACAGCCTTAATCAGTTGAAAGGCAAGTACATCCATTCACCACCTCCCCCAGATGGTGCTCCCTATACCTGTCTTCCCATTTATACAGCCTGCTCCTCTGCTACAGTTCCCCCAAGTCATTTGCATCACCCACTTCTTCACACCCAGTCACATGCCCCTTAATCTATTCTGCACCCTTGATACATATATCCTGGCTGTCCCCTTTTTCTAATCCTTCACCCTAACTCCAAGCTACGCACATACGCACCTGATACATGCCAATAGAATAGCTAGCCCCAAGCACTGTTACATGTATGTTTGGATTGAATTCATAACCTTTCAACTCCAGCACCATGTGCGTAAGAAAGCTGGTGCTTTCATAGATTAATGGAATCTGATAAGGAATCCATTGTGCATGTACAATTAAATTCTATCAGCCTTTTATTTTAGGCAAAATTGTGTGGTCTCTTCCTAGTGGGGAACAGTGGAAAAACTGAGCAACTGATCTGTGCAACAATCAGACACTCGAGGGACATGCTCTTGCTTCTCTCTGCCTAGAGAAGGGTCCAATAGCCTTCTAAGATGCTGGCTTCTGTGACTTGCTATTTCTTAGGCTGGTATTCAGGTGGACTTTCTGATCTCTCCCAAGGGATCTGCTTTCCCTTATCAAGCTGCCTTCAGAGTGTAATTAAATGAACTGTTGAGGTGAATGTGCAATTAGCCAATCAATTGAGATCAGTGAATAGTTTGAGTATGAATTACAGATAGCTATCTAAAAGCCTTATATTTTTTTTTTATCCATATAATTTCTTTGGCTCACAGTCCTGCTGGAGGATCCCTTTCTACAAGATGGAATATTATTGAATGAGGTCTGATTACCTCCTGATATGCTTCTTTCTCTCTTTTCTTTCTTTTTTTTTTTTTTCTCCCCCACTAGGTCAGTAAAATTGTGTCAAATGTTCCTCACTTGGAGTTTCTAAACCTGAGTTCCAACCCTCTGAATTTGTCAGTTTTAGAGAGAACATGTGCTGGATCTTTCGCTGGTGTTCGCAAACTGGTGCTAAACAACAGCAAAGCTTCCTGGGAAACAGTCCATACAATACTGCAGGAATTACCAGAGTAAGCATGAGGCGCATGGTGTGAAAGGAGGAGTGCCCACTGCATGCAGACAAAGCTCATAACAGGAAAGGCTGCTGGGTGTGGGTGAGTGGGCTGAGCAGAGGAAGGAGATTTACTTTCTTTGGGACTTGGAAGGGTTTAACTCTTGCCATTGGGCCAACTGAATGTTTTATTGCATTTCTAGATCTGAACTTGCCTAGAGCTTTGCATAGGTGCATACACACATTGAATACATCTAAATACTAGCATGAATTAATGGATTATGGCCTTCATGATTCAGCATGTGACACTCTTTTCCACTGAGCTACGACTGAATGAATGGCAATGCACCGTGCTAATGGCTTTTGGATGGGACATAAATCTGAGGTCCTGGTCAATTGTCATTAAAGATCTCATCACACTTTTCATGTGTTAATCTCAGGGTCCTGTCCAGTTTCCACCTTGGCACTGGCATTCTGCCTCTCTGAAATGCCTTTGCAATTTCAGTTGGATACCAGATTCCTCTTCATGCAAATTTGTAAAGAAATCTATTATTACAGTATTCTGCTTAACCAGTACACCCTTAATTGAGACAGCCACTTTGTTCCCAGGGAACCAATTTAGCCTACTGATAGCTAATAGTAATGATTGCTGCTTAAATGGGACAATGGTAGCATAAATTCTGTTTAATAGAGACATGTTCGGCCATTGCCAACGTAGTCTGAGAGAGATTTAATCAGATGTGAAATTCTAAGTTCCAGTCTTAATACAGAAAGGTGCTAAATATTAAAATAAAAAAATCCACTGAGCATTATTTTTATTCCCATTTCTTTATTCAGTACAATATTTCATTTTAAATATCTTCAGTCTGTTTCTTTTTTGTTGGCCTGTTTTTTTGGGATGCGAGGCTGCTTATCAGAGTCTTTTCCCAGTTTAAAAGGATTCACCATTATTATTATTATTTATTTTTGCCATGCCTTATTTAAAGCAGTTAGGTAGCATCGCTGTCATCTGACAAATGCACACTACCTTTCACCTTAAAAGTGGTCACATGAGTGGTGAATGACTTTTGGCCAGGAGCTGGGGTTTATAGTGTGGTAATAGTCTTTAATGTTCCTAGTGTTCATTTTAAATCTCTGGTACAACCTCCGTGACTTTGGTGATGGGAACATCCATAAATACGTGAATGGGTTTTCAGCCTCCACTTGTGCAGTGATGAGCCCATCCACGCCCAAATTGGTGCAAGGTGCAAACATTGCTAAAAACCAGCATGCTTGGTCAAGCCCTTTAGCTAGTGGTGTTTTCACCTGCAACACCTATTAGTTGGCCTTGGGCCTTGGCCAATGGATTTTGTTGGGTATAAACTCTTAACATTTCTTTTTGTGCATGTGTTAACTATTTAAAGGTTACTTGTGAAACTATTCCAAGGAGTTGTCAGAACTTTTAGTGGGTACTGGCACCAGTGAAGTACATAGACACCATTTGTGAGCGTGCAGATTTGTGCAAGTGGAGGCCTGACTGAAAATATACAAAATATAGTTTGAAGCGCTCTGACAGTCATCTAGCTGAAAGATGGTGTAGGAAGTCCTATCTACACTGAGGTTTCAGAGAGTGCTGGGGCCTTTCATGTTTAAGTAATTCTTGAAAACTGTGTGTACAGGGGCCTCTAGGTAAGACCGTTTACAATTTAACAAGAAGCCTTCAAGTAAGAGCATATTTCTTTCTGTGTGCAGCTTGGAGGAGCTCTTCCTGTGCCTTAACGACTATGAAACAGTGTCTTGTTCTCCAGTTTGCTGTCAGTCTCTCAAATTACTCCACATAACTGACAATAATCTTCAAGACTGGACTGAAATTCGAAAGCTCGGAATTATGTTTCCATCGCTGGACACGCTTGTCCTGGCCAACAATCACCTGACAACCATTGAAGAATCAAATGATTCTTTGGCAAGGCTGTTCCCTAACCTGCGATCCGTCAGCTTGCACAGATCAGGTGAGGTACTGAAAGCAGCATGTTCTTTATATTCCTTGTGTAAACGATAATGCCTGATCTAAACCTTTGCTTTGGCAGAGGGGAGGAGGAATATTCTCATTTTGGTGCAAATTGAAACCTGTGCTTTAACAGGGTGGGGAGAAGAATGTTATTTTGCTAGTGACATCCTACATCTTTGCTAGGAATGAGCAGTCTGCAATCAGTATTGCTTCCTGCTGGCTACTTGTGTGTTAAGCAGATCAGAGAAGGTGGAGAAAGCACAAGCTTGTACAGTAGAATATCCTTGTTACGCTCCTGGGTAGCGTATACTAGTGCCAGAGGCTACAGTCGTTTTCAGTCTTGTCTACCCCAGCTTTTAAACGAAGACTGAAAGTTATTCAGAAGTGCAGCCCAAGCAGGACTGTAATAAAAGCTGCCTGGCTAGTGTGGTAGGTCACTAACTGGGCTAGAGAAAGGTCTAACACAGCCACCATGTTTTCAGGAAGAATAAGTAAGAGTAGTTTGTAATGTCAGTGACTGAGGAGCCAGTTTGCATTCTGAGGAAGGTTACGGTTTAATCAACCTCTAGACCCAGTGTTCACTTACAGGCGCACACATTTTGTATGTGCATTACTGGAGCACACACAGGGGATCAAGTAGAGCAAAACCCATCACCTGTGTTTAGATGTTAGATTCTTTAACTGTATGTATGGAAGAGGCTGCGCCAGAAGCTTTGGCTGAGGCCTCCCTACGAATAAGCCCCGCTGAGGCTGGAGAATCAACTGGCATAGCAGTGAACACACTTTGTACCTCCAAGCCCCAATGATAGGTAGCTATGGGACAGATCACAGGTGCTAAATGACATTCAACTTCCATCTCCCAGATGTGCATGCTTCATTAGCTGAATTTGGAAAACCTAGGAATAGTGCTGTGTAAAAAAATCTGTTCAATTACAGCTGTTTTCCTAGTGTTTGTTTGATCCTCTCATTCTCAAGAACTCTGCCATGAATTTCCTGGAGAGTTTTTGTTCCAGTTTGGCTGCCTGATAATTACCAGCAGTCATGGGCCCCTTTCCTCTCCCTAACTTATAAGAGTCAATACACAGACTCTAGTATAGATTCACCTAATGCATTATTGTAGTTGTTGGTTTATTATACAGAGCCATAGAGGGATTAAGGTAGGGGTGGCCAACCTGAGCCGGAGAAGGGGCCAGAATTTACCAATGTACATTGCCAAAGAGCCACAGTAATACGTCAGCAGCCCCCCCCATCAGCTCCCCCTCGCCCCACTCCCAGTGCCTCCCGCCCACCAGCAGTCCCACTAATCAGCGCCTTCCCCTCCCTCCCTGCACTTCCCGATCAGCTGTTTCGTGGCGTGCAGGAGGCTCTGGGGGGGAGGAGTGAGGGCATGGCAGGCTCAGGGGAGGGGGCGGGAAGCGGTGGAGTGGGGGCAGAGCCAGGGGTTGAGCAGTGAGCACTCCCTGGCACACTGGAAAGTTGGCACCTGTAACTCCAGCCCTGGAGTCGGTGCCTATACAAGGAGCCGCATATTAACTTCTGAAGAGCTGCATGTGGCTCCGGAGCCACGGGTTGGCCACCCCTGGCTTAAAGTATTAATAAAACCCCTTTCACATGTATCAACGTGCTATACAATGTAAGCACCAAGCGGTGCTTTACACCATTTAGTAAAACTGCAGCTAACTACGGGAAAATGAACCTTTTAAATCAGACTTGAAAAATGCTGAGTCATTGAGAGGACCATCTTGTAGGAGGCAGTTTTGCTCGGGTGGAACCAAGCGTTCAACCCCGTTGGATACTATGCAGCACATGGATGATCTGAGAAGCCCCAAGTTGAACAGGAAGTCCAATGAGGACATGACCGTGAATTAAATCACACATGTTGGGGGGGGGACTTGGGGTCTGGAGAGTTCTTGAAAACTGATTTTAAATCCTCTCCACAGCGGCTGGACTTGCCAAAGTAACTATCTAAATAAAGGCATGACATGGAGTGAAAAGGTGTCAAATAGATGAAATGCACCACTGTATTTTGGATAGCTGGGGTAATTCGTTAATTGAATTGAGATTACTGTTTGAAAGAATGTCACCACGGTTCACTGGTGAAATAACAATTATGGCGGCGGCTGCAAGATCCCATATCTTTCAATTTTCTGGGGGATGAATAGTTGATAGTGATGTGGCCTTATTCACACCCTAATGTAAGTGAATTAAAGCATTAGACCATACACTTCTGGGTTTATTACTCATTCCTCTGCCTACATTAAATCATTTTGTTAAGCCTTGTTTCTGCATGTCCCAGTCTAATACCTGCTGTTCCTGCCCCTGCAACAGCTGTTGTCAGTTGATATTACTGAGGCTTTTGCATATTAAATATTGAAGAACTTGGTCCTGCTTAAACCTGCTTCTTGTCTTGCTGGCTGCTGTGGTTTAGCAGAGATCTCCAGTGATTTGAAGGTGATTGGTTTTCACAGGAGTTGTGATGGAACATCTCAGTGTGGGATGATGGGAGTTCAACCAGGTTTTCTTCTCAGAGTGGACACCTCCAGCAGTATAAATAAGCTGTTCCCTTTTCAAATGCAATTGCCTCTGTTAGCTTTCTCCCAGGCACAGTAGCATTTTGACCTGCAAAGGCCAGGTTCTTGGCAATAGTTTAATTAGGTGACTGGGTCATATTCATCCTCTATCAGTCATTCTCTACTATCCCCACCAGCTGAGTGATCCACAGGTGGAAGCGGGAAGGGTTTTGAGCCAGTATCACAAGATGTTACTTATATCCCAGTGCGTGTGGTATGCATGCATGGCTGAGTTCATTGCCCAGGGAATGTATTTTAATCGCAAGTTGACTTGCACAGGATATTACACTTGACATGGAAGAAGGGGACAAATATCTCTCTACAATATGCCCCGCTACACAAAGGAATTGCAATTCTGGTCTGAATGATCACTTACCTTCTGAGACCGCTGCAGTCCCTGGAACAACAGAAGTGTCTGACCTTTACTTGATTACGTGACTTGGGTTTGCTTAAATCAGACCTTTAATTTTTTAGAGATGCTGATTTCCTTTTATCTATTATAGTGAAAACCTCCCACCAATTTCTAGTAGACGCGTGTAATACTTGGTACGTTAGACTTAACGGCTAGACCGTGCATGTAAGAAGTATCCTATGTAACCATCTATCTTCTGCCACAGCAAAAGGAAGCAAAGATAAGCATCGGAGTTAATCTTGAACACACAATCAAATAGATTGTCACCTGATCCCCAGCTGTCCTCACAACTTTGCTTCAATTCTCAGAAACCAGTACAGATCTGCAGAAAGCTGGAATTGGGTGAAAATATTTTCATTAAAAGGCTGGATGGCTCATGGGAATAGGATACCTGCAGGTCACGAGTTCAAATCCAGACCTAGCTTGGTAGTCCCTGAAAATTACCATTTGATGGCTGCTTGGTGGTCCCTGAAGTGACACAAGTCTGGCTTCAGCAGTACTAACCAGAGTCCTTTTTATCAAAACGGCCATAACAAGTTATGCTAATTGTCATTCAGCAGAGATGCCAAGGACTGAATAGGCCATGGAGATTGAACTCCCCTCGGAGATTGTCCCTCCGGACTGATAGGACAGCATGGGTGAGCTAATGCTGCTCCTTCATGTGCATGAATAAGGGAATTCAGTCTCTAGCATTTCACCAGAAATGCACTGACTTGTCAAACACACTTAGATTGTCGTTCTCCTGTGTTGAGATCCATGAAATAGTGTTACGGTCAACTCGTATGCTAAATAACACAACGATAAATGGATGATAAAATGGACGAATTGACTACACCTGTCTTGTGTGCCCTTTGGCTATATCTGGTATTCTTTGATATATTGTATATCCCCTGTGTGTTTAAACAACTCATTTCTTAAAGCAGGTCTGCATTGCTGGGAAGACATTGACAAACTAAACTCTTTCCCCAAGCTCGAGGAAGTGAGACTGCTAGGAATCCCTCTTCTGCAGTCCTACACCACCGAAGAGCGGAGGAAGCTGTTAATAGCCAGGTCTGGTGTTTCAGTTTGCTCTGCTCAGTAAAACATACTGCACAATCACATGATCTGAGATGATCAACTTCTGGGGGGTGGGAAATGAGATGAAGAGTGTGTTGGGGCACTGCAGATTCATGTGGTATGGATGCACTTGATGATTACATGTTCTGCTCATTCCCTCTGGGGCACCAGGCATTGGCCACTGTCGGAGGACAGGATACTGGGCTAGATGGACCTTTGGTTTGACCCAGTATGGCCATTCTTATATAATGTTAGCTGCGGAAGGACTTGGAACTTCTGCAGTACTAGAAGGGAACATGGAAGTGGAAACAGTCTAAACAGAAGGCTCCTGTCATAGACGTTAGTCTGTCAGGAACTATGGGTACTGGTCCAAAGACTATTGACTTTAAAATGGGCCTTGAAGCAGGCCCTCAAAACAATTGGGCTATTTAGGATGATCTTAAACCTCTGAATAATATAGTCGTATTTGTCCATTAGAAATTCTAAATACTGGTTTCAATGGGTACAGAATCAGCATCACTGGCTATTTCCAAGTTAGACATTGGGGAAATATTTGTTGGATTGCTTTTCTATTTGTACAATAAATATTGCTTTGAGAATGTTTCCACATTTCCAATCCCTTGTGTTTTAAATAAAACATTTAGTATGTGATGAAAGGGTAGCATCAAGGTCATGAGACCTGGGATTATGCCTCCTGGAGTCCCTCGTTTCCAGTGGGTGGGATATGTAGCTGTTCAGGAAGCGGGGTAAGATTCTTGGTTGGGGGTGCCCTAAAGGATTAAAATGTGTAGCTACCCCTTTTGGTGTGAGTGAGCTAAGTGCAATAATTATATATGCTATACTATACACTATAAAGCAATTATGTACTGTAGAATAGTACGTATTACTGTGTACCTGTTAGAGCTGGTAGGAAAACCCTAGGTAAATATCCATGGAATATTTTGGAGGAAACAAAGTTTTCATTTTGTTTGGTTTTTATTTTTTGGAATTTTTTGTTTTTCGACAATCACCCCCTCATCTTCCCCCCACTGGGGAAAAAGGTGGGAAAGGGAAATAGAAAATTTGTGATTTTATTTATTTTTTTATTTATTTATTTCAATAACTGATTTTTTTTTTTTTTAATTGTATGGAACATTTTTGAGCAAAATAAAACTTTTTTTCAAAAATTATTTTAAAAAAAAAAAGGTTTCCACAAGTGTTGATCAGCTCTAATTAATACCTGCAATACACTGACCCATATTAATATACTGTATTATTTTATTAAAAGGAAATGTATATCCTGATTAGACCACAAAATGAACCTTAATTGAAGGAACTGTTTCTCCATAGGATGTAGGAGGCAATGGCTTAAATTTTGAGAAGTAACTTATGCTTTTGGGGGACCAATTTGAGATGCCTTAAAGGGGCCCTATTTTCAAAGGGTGGTTGGTAGGCTGCTTTCATGTGTCTCAAGTGAGCCACCCAAAAATCATTAGTCACTTTTGAAAATCTAATGCTTAATCCTGGGAGTCAGGACTCCTGGATTGCATTCCTGGCTCTAAGAACAGGAGTACTTGTGGCACCTTAGAGACTAACAAATTTATTTCAGCATAAGCTTTCGTGGGCTACAGCCCACTTCATCGGATGCATAGAGTGGAACACACAGACAGAAGATATTTATACATACAGAGAACATGAAAAGGTGGAAGTACGCATACCAATTGTAAGAGGCCAGTCAATTGAGATGAGCTAAAGTTTTTTCTTCTGCTGCTACTGATAGCTCATCTCAATTGACTGGCCTCTTACAATTGGTATGCGTACTTCCACTCTATGCATCTGAAGAAGTGGGCTGTAGCCCACGAAAGCTTATGCTGTAATAAATTGGTTAGTCTCTAAGGTGCCACAAGTACTCGTGTTCTTTTTGCGGATACAGACTAACACGGCTGCTACTTTGATTCCTGGCTCTGCCGCTGAGTCATGGTGCTTGGGTAAGCCACTTAAGTTCTCCATGCCTCAGTTTAACCATCAGTACAATGGGTATAGTAAGAATGTACTTATCTTTGAGGTAAGTAACGAATGTTTGTAAGGTGATTTGAAATCCTCTGATGGGCAGGCACTAGAGAAGTGCTAAATATTTATTATACATGCACAGAAATAAAAATGTAGTCAAATAATGCATAATTCTAATTACTGCCCGAGACACTGCATAGTACTTTGAGAGCGAGGTCTTGGGATCGAAGCTATGCAGCCCTGAGGATAAAATCACATTCTGCTGTTGGCTCTGGAGTCTTGCTGATCATCACAGCTAGATTTTCGTATCCTCATTAACAGTGTTCTTCGGTGTATTCATGCAGATTGCCGTCTATCATCAAGCTTAATGGGAGTGTCATTACCGATGGGGAGCGAGAGGACTCTGAGCGATTCTTCATTCGGTATTACCTGGACTTCCCGCCAGAGGAAGTCCCATTCAGGTACGAGCTTCAGAGCTGGAATTCAGAGAAAGCGCAGTGCATAGGAAAGGAGAATGATGTTCATTAGACAGTTTGAAAGTGTTCAGCTGAAAGTGTGTCTTACAGCTGAGAAATGACACTGGAAATCAGGGCTGGGCCTTGTAACACCAAAAAATTCCTTGCCCTCCTACCATCCTTTCCTCCCTCGGTCCATATTCATTGATCATCTCCCCCACACTCCTACGTGGGGTGTGTCTGATAGCTTACTGATTCACTAGTGTGTCAGATCCAGCCTTAAGCTGTCCCTTCCAAGAGCTGTTAGACAGTTCTGTCCATGACCCTCATTGCTTCTCCTAGGCAACCCCCACTGCCATCTCACTAATCCCCCTGCCTCCTGGAGTCTCTTGAAGCCCATACTAATACTTCTTTCTGGTGCCAAAACAAAATGGCTAATCCTCGTGCCATCTGGTGGGTAGAATGTACATAGGGATAAAAGCTTTCCCTCTTCTAAAAACTCTGATCACAAGTTTTGTGTGGGTTTTTTGCCAAAAACAATATGCTCTGTTATCTGATGATTTCAGTAAACAAATGAACTTTGATAGCAGCTATGCGGTCAGTAGCTTTTGGTACCTACATGTGATTACTGCTTCTTAATGGAATGAGGAAGGCTCGATCAAGCATCAAGTCATTGCGCCTAGTACTTTGCATTTATTTAGCATTGTATCCAGAGACCCAGTGCATTTTACAAACTGTGAAGCCTCACAAACCCCTTTCCTGAGGTAAGGAAGTAGATGAGTAAACCAAGGTACAGAGAACTCAAGTGACACAATGGGTCACCCAGGGAGTCGGTTGCAGAGCTGAGAACAGAATCCAGGCGTCAGGACAGTCGGTCCCTTACTTAACTATGAGGCAAAACTGCCTCAAAACAGCTCTGCAGTTTGAACCTACCTATGCAATCACTACGTCAGAAGGCTCGATTCACAAATGACCCCAAGGGTGATTTGGGAGGGGCAGGAGATGGTACTAAAAGAACTAAACAGTTTCTTGCATGCAGCCCCTGAATGACTTCAGTGAAAGGGATCTCTGCTTAAATACTACAGTGATGGGTGCCCTGTATATAATTAAATGATAAATTACTGAGAGAAGGAGAATGGGGTTTAGACTCAATTACACATCAAGCTTCTATGAAGATTGTAAGCTTTGCGGTAGGGATTGTGTCTTCCTATGTGTTTGTGCGCATCTAGCACAGTGGAACTGATTCTAATTGGGTCCTCTGGATGCTGTCACAGTCTGAAATAGTAATAATCATCTAACTCCTGTAAAGAGGATTTAGATTTAGGGTGAAAGCTTTACTGAGCAACTTGCTATCTCTCTACACTATCTGTGTAAGACTAACGGGAAGATGAAAGAAATGTGTGTCCCCTCCAGCTCCTGGCCTTTAAAGACCATTGCATCCATCTTCCTGATCAATGGGCTCTTTGTCTGAATGCCTTCATCCCTACAGCTTGTCTGAGAGACTTGTGCAGCCTTAAAGGCTGTTTTTCCACTCCAGGGAGCTTGTGCCCCTTTTCAGACCATGCTACAGATGGCTGAGGTGTCTCCAATGCTGAGTTCAGGTTTCACTTCCTGGACCATTGTACCCCCCATCTCCTCCCCCCACACACCGGGTGTCCCTTGTTTCTGAAGTGAATTTTCTTACCTCTATCACCCCCCACACACACACACCTCCAAGTCTGGCATCTGCTCTCAAACCTATCTTTAAAGTCTGTTCCTAGTTAGATCAAGAGCAAGTGTAGCTGATTAATTGGCAGGGATGCAGTCAGCATTGCTCATACAGGGATCCTGGCAATTCTGCCAAAAACAGCTGAGCTGGACATGTCTGTACATGAAAAGCTTGCAAACAGAAATGACTCTCTTGGCTAGAGAGGTGTATCCTATTATCTTTAAAGAAAATAGTATTCTGTCTCTTTAAATCAGCCTGGTTGCATTGTAAGTATTCGCAGCCTACATGTTGCATGAATTGGAAAAGGAGTGAAATGTATAGCATAACTTTCCATCCTTCAGTGGCTTGTGTTTAAAACTAAGGCCTGCTTCTTGAGTGACACCTCTTGTCCATGGATTTCTAATGAGTTACGTGCTTGTCTGGGCCACTGTTCATACATAGAACATCAAACGGTTTTAGCCAGGTTCACTTCTTCAGGCTCTTCTTCTCTGGCAGTCAGTGTCTATCAGGCTGTGGAAGGTGATTATGTAAGTCTCAGAGGTGCCTATTACCTTGGTATCGAAGTACCAAATGAGTACTGTGTGTTAGTCTTTATGGATTTGGGGGAATACAGTTGTTTTACTGCAGAATTTGATTATGGTACAAGAAACAGGCTGAGAGATTTTTTTCTGCCTTTCCCCAAGAGGGGAAATTGGGCTAATGTTTCACAACACACAGCATGTTTACAGTGTGTTTTCACTTCCCCTCATTCTCCTCCTCCACTGTACTGGTCCCCCTATTCATCCCCACTTTTCGCCTGCAGCCCTGTTGCAGCAGAAGCTCAAGTACACTCAGACCTTCTGAGTCTGCTGCACTCTCTGTTCCCTTTTCTGCAAATATTAGGGTTGACAACCCTCCAGGATTGTCCTGGCGTCTCCAGGAATTAAAGATTAATCTTTAATGAAAGGTTACGTCCTGGGACGAAACCTCCAGGAATACGTCAGACCAAAATTGGAGAAGTGGGGTCTCTCTCTTACTCTGTCTCCTGCTGGAGGCATAAGGAAGTGCACTGGGGAAATCCTCATTCCTGGTGTCAAGGTGATTAATGCTAATTTAACTGTTTGTAAAATATGGGGAATATGTTTCCTCTTCTCCGAGCTAATGGTTTTCTAAATAGGCCTGATTGTATCTCCCTGTATATTGTGAGAACAGGGCAGTGGCCTGTATTTGGGCACTCCTCCCCATTGAAGGCTCGTTTTGCCTGAGATGATAGGGAAATCCTAGTGCGCTGTGGCCATTACCTCACGCTCTGTGCAGACAGAGGGCCTGCTGTTGTGAAGGAACATTCCTACATTTAACATGAGTCCCCGGGGGTTCCCATATTGCCAGGCTCCATCATCCCCTGACTGGGGCCGTGACACAGTACTGATCACGTTAAGCTCTGAGTCAGATGGGAAACAAAAAGAGCTTTCTGTGCAGCCCACTGTGGAGAGACTCTGAAATGTTACCTCCTGTCCGCAGCTCTCTAGCTTTGTCATTTCAATTCCCTTGTACTTTGTGTTGAGTTTTTGCCACTTTCCCAGCCCGTCAGTAGAGATGCTACCTTTCTTTCCTGATGGGAGAGATACCAGCTGCGGCGGGGAGTAGAGAAGAGACGTGCCTCTTCCAGGGAACGTCTCTGTGTGGCTGGACCTTTTCAAGACCATTCTTAGGGCTTGTCTACATGAGGAAATTGGCCGGCAGAACTGTAGCAGTACAGTTCTTGGTAGATGTAATCCTAGAATAAAAATTACCTTATTCTGGTATCATTTTTCACTTTTTATTCTGGGGAATGATACCAGCATAGCAACAGGGGTATAATTAGATGGCTGTAGTTCTACTGGTCAGTTTCCTCATGCGGATAAGCCTTTAGTTGTTTTCTCAACTCCATCGAACCCATGTGGCCACCAAGCCACTACTTCTCTCCGCACCCTCCTCGAGACAGGGAAAGTTCCGTGATCCATCCTGCACCTTGTTGGATTCAGAGAAAGTCTAACGTTGTATCAGATCAAAGTGGCCTTCTGATGGGTTTGCAGCACTTACTTTAAAGGGACCTGATTTTCAGGGTCTGAAGTACTTTAAAATTGAGGCAACTAAACTCATAGTTTTTGAAAATTTTGACCAAAGTACTTTGTATTATTATTATGATTATTTAGTATTATTTAATTCTGATACTTTTTAGTCATGTATTTGGGCAAGAGATGTAAGCTATTGTTAGAATAATTTCCAGTTATTGAATAACTTTTCTCAGTTTCCTTAACTGATGAAATGAATATTTTCAGAGCAGTTCACAGATATTCCATACACATCTTGAGTTGCTGATAATGCCTTCTTCTAAAACACTATATTCTGCCTTCCATTCAGTCTAATATCTTTGCTCCTTTGCAGCTTTGGCCATAATCTGAGACAAGGTTACTATAGTAGATGGCCCTTCTGCTTTTGTTCCTAGTATGGCAATTCGTATCAAAACGTGTACCTCTTCCCAAGCATTGTATGGAAAATAAGAGTACAAATATCACGGTCTAGATTCATCCTTTGTGGAAGTCCATTTATGTCTATTGATTTCATCTGGAATGAATATTGCCCCATGTAGTTAGTGAGTTATAATGAGGACCTCCCTTAAATCTCCCAAGATTTAGTGGCAAGTGTGAAACCAGGTATTTGGTGCATTTTTTGCTGTTCATGCACAGTGTCAGTGTATGAGGAGGGCTCTGTATTACTTCTAAATTATTGAATTCTTAAACCGTGTTCTTCATGCAACAGAGGATTGTCTTCTCTAGCGATTTCACCTCAAGTTAATTGATTAGCTCTTAACTTGATTGCAGATTAACTGGCGAATGCCATGTGGTCTAGTTGTTAAAATGAGATGCAGGGTGACTTGTAGTTAAAATGCCTGGGTTCTCTTTTTGGCTCTTGCTGAATCACTGTGTGTCTTGACCAAATCTCTCGACCCCTCTGAGTCTCAGTTTACCAATCTCTAAAATGGTTACAATGCTTAACTCACAAGTATTAATTAAGCCTTTCAACTTATTTGCAGAGGCCCCCTTGGAGATCTGTAGGTGGAAGATATCAGTATTATAGTTACAGAGCGCAAGTAATTTGTGAGCAGTGTGACAATTGTATGAGCAGTTATGACGTAGCTTTCTGTTTCTTACTTTCTAGGTATCATGAGCTAGTAACAAAATACGGAAAGCTGGAACCTTTAGCAGTAGTGGATCTTCGGCCCCGGAGCAGCGCGAAGGTTGAAGTTCACTTCAAAGATAAGGTGGAGGAAATATCCATCCGTCTAGATCAGACGGTGGCAGAATTAAAGAAACAATTAAAAACTGTAGTGCATTTGTCAACAAGCAACATGTTGCTCTACTACTTTGACCATGAAGCTCCCTTTGGTCCCGAGGAGATGAAATACAACTCACGGGCATTACATTCTTATGGTATTCAGGATGGAGACAAATTTTTTGTGGAGCCCAAATCTAAATAACCTCTTCTGGCTTTGTGCATTCACACCAACACACACACACACACACACACACACACACACACACACACACACACACACAAAGTTAAAGACTTTTTGCAGGGTTTTTAGGTTGGTTGTTGGGTTGAGGTTTGGTTTTGTTTTGTTTTGTTTTTATACCAGTTGACTTCTTAGCCCAGGTAGTGTGCCCAAATCTGCAAGAGACATGCCACCATCTGATGCGAATGAACTTAAGAGGAGATAACTGACTTCAGTGTGTGTGTGTGTGTGTGTGTGTGTGTGTGTGTGTTTCAGGATGTCTGATACCTTGATGTTCTCGTTACTCTTCCGGTATACTCGTGAATTTAGCATGAATGGTCAGCTCTTCAAGCTAAGAGGGGTATTATGGTCCATCAGTAAGGGAGTCAGAGCTCAGTGCAGAATTTGGTCAGTACTTCTGTTAGATTAAAGATTTGACTCAGCACTTGTCCACCCAGTTATTTGACTCCGGCTATAAATAGCTGAATTGCTGTTTATCCAGCCAAGTGATGTCTCTAAATTTTTGTTGTTGTTGAGGTTAGTGAAAGGATTTTAAGCAGTATTCAGCCTGATTTAGAACTCAGGTATTCAGAGCATCCTAAACTACACTTCGTTTGCAAGAGTAAATAAAATGGGAGTGAGAAAATGTACAAATATAAAATAATCTTTTACTCCCAAAACTCACTATCTAGAGATCTCGTGCAAACTGTTCAACTTCACTAGACTTCTGGCATTATGTGTAGTCGAGTGACACGTCTGATGTTACTAAAGGTTGGAATTAACAGTATTTTGGCCAAATAGGTTTATATGCTAATTTGCAGAAAACTCTGGCTGTTCTTGGATGGGTTTTGTGTCAACTGGGAATCCAAATTAACAGCACAACAGTATGCTGAACAGCATAGTGGAGTTGCTTTGAATGTCCTTTCCCTATTGCCTGCAAGATCCACTAATAAGCACTTACCCTTTGGCCAGTTTGTGTTGAGAGTAGAAAGGACTTTGTCAGGAGAATGATTTTAGTCTATTCCTTAGTATAAAGTCCTATTTCTTACTCTTGCTCCAGGAACCTATCCTAATCTAGCACTTTTCCCCCTACCATTTGAATGTGGACCCTCTGTTTAAGATAGGTATCAGTTTTGCTTACATCAGTTTGTAGAAGGTGAGTAGATGAGAAACCACTCGCATTTATCGTAAAGCAGATGTTCATGATCCAGATTCACTCCCCCGTGTCCTCCACCAAACTCTCCGTGGGCATAGTGTGCTGATTTTAAATAGGCCCTTTTTTTTCCTTTAGAGCTGGGTCACTTTCTTATGATCCTGCTGTGAAATCCTCAGCCCTTTTCTGTATCTCTTGTAAATCACACAGCTGTTTCCCTTCACAGTGCCCTCCCTTGTTCCTCTGTCACCTTGACAAGTTGAAGACTTTACACTGACTTAAGCAACTACATTTTTAAAAAATGTTTTTCAAGCAGTGGAGTCAGGGATCTAGTTACGTATGAACTTCTGACCTTCGTTCTTTAACATCCTCTCCCTTCCCGGGCACTTTCTTTCTCATGATGCTTTTGTCTGAGTTTACTGAACTCCTTTATATTCTTGGAGTTGTGTATTCTCTTCATATTTTACCTGGATTGTCCAGGGAGGAATATAATCTCATACTCTTCAGATTCAGTATCTAGGAACTATTCAGCTGAGAGTGGTTCCACATCTAGGGTAAACGTGGAAATAAGAGGATTCAAGAGAGGTTAATTATTTGTGCCTGGTCTTCTGTTGTAAGAATTGATCTCCTGGGAACATCAAGAAGAGCAATATAAAACAGACCAAGGCTTGCATGTATAACATGGAATCCACATGACCTGACTTGATCCAATAAGAATAAAGAACCATGAAATGGTGACAGTGTAATATGAAGTTTTACTTTTAAGGACTCTTGTTGCAGAATGTACTTTATAAGCTGTAGCATAACTGAGGATGTATTTGCTGCCCATTTGGGCAGAAAATGCATTTGCTGCCCTGCAATGGAACGCCAAGCCAACACATGTATGATATATACATACATACACATAGAGGAAGTTGTGTTTAATAAGATATTTTATTATAAAACAAAGTTTTATGAAGATATGGTTGTTTAATATTAGAAGCTTATTTCTCCTGTTGACCTACTGTATGAGTATGTTGCCCATCAGTCATAAGCTTGTGCAGGTTATGTGACTGATGCAGATATAAAGGAATATCTGATCTAATTCTATAGAACGGTAATCACCTATCTTGGGTATATTTATGGCATTGTAACTGGTATTAACGAGACACTGTTAATTATTGACCAACTGTTTTAGCACAATTAAATAACTTGGTTTTAGAGAAGGAAATAAAGTCAATTAAAGCATTTGATGAGATCTTACCAAAGGCCAAGTATGTGCTTGTAAGTTTGTTTGCCTGTGAAAAGTTTTGATTATATCCAGAAACAAAATTGGTGCTGTCGCCATGTTGGCTCTGAACAACAGTTAAATGTTATTTTTATGATGTACCTGGTAGGAATGGGAAAACTGAGTAGAAAAACAAGGGTTTTTAATGAACAAGGATAACGCCCTCTTCACAGCTATCTGAGATTTAGCACTATCGTATAAACCAGATCAATGATCCACCCAGGTTTGCGAAAGCCACAGCACAGACACTGCAGTTTCTCCACTCTAGGGAACAGGCTGTCTCTAGCCAGTATTATAGAACCATTCACAATCTGTCCAGCCAGCAGAATATGCATTTTGTAGAAAACCTTCAGTAGACTTCAGCTGTGTAAGAAAAAAGGCCATGCCAAAAAAGAAATGTTTTACACATCCAGATGCTCCGCCCTGGAATGTGGGGGGGGGGCGGGAATTGCACAAAATTCAAAATGTTCAAAATTGGATCATCTTCCAATTTTATTGCCCATTGGAAATTGGGTCCTATTTTTGCACAATATTCCCATTTAAAATCGGGCTGCTTTTGAGCAATTTCATAGAATTTTGGAAGCCTAAAATTGTAAGGGAATAAAATTGCAGAAATTTTCACCTAATTCTAGTTAATGCCTAATAGTCCAGAATGCCAGAATGCTCTGTATTTGTAGACATTCCCAGTTCAATATATGGTCCAGAGTTGTGTTTATTTAAAAAAAACCCCAACCTTAATAGCTACTGCTCCTCCTGTGTCCTTTAACCAAGTGCTATTCTTGCCAGCTATTGTTTCGTTATTGATGTTACTTCATACATATAAGCCTCCCCTGGGTACTTTACATAGAGTGGATTTTCTGACTACCTAGTTTACAGGGAACTAGGTGAGAATTACAAATCAGAACATTACACAGCTTTTTATAATGAGGTTAAATGCTGTGACATTTTGCTTTCTGATTTGTCTCTTGATTATCCACGATGTGACCAGATGGTACAGCTAGACTGCTTAAAACCAGCAAATTTATGGGACGTACAGTTGTAACAAAGGATGCATCCATGTGTGTATGTTAGAAACTGCTGTTAACCCTCATGGTAGTTAAGTATGTACTCTGGGTGGACAGTTAAGCCTAGCATACAGCACGATCTTGGGAAACCACTAACAAATGTAATCATAGGCCTGGTCTACACTTAAAAATTAGATTGACCTAGCTACATTGCTCAGGGCTGTGAACAATTTCCCACCCTGAGTGCCTTTTTGCCTAACCGCCAGTGTAGATGCAGCTGGGTCGACAGACAAGTTCTTCTGTCAACCTAACACGGCCTCTCAGGTGGCTTAACTACATTGATGGAAAAACCCCTTCCTTCAACGTATGTAGTATAGACCTACCCATAGTCTTTGCTCTACAGTGTGACCGGTTTCTTTGCCTGCAGTCGATTGGACCCTAAAGATTCCAAGCATAGATCCCAAGTACAAAATTGTTCCTCCATCAGTTGCCATTTGTGCTTGTAAATGACATGCTTTTAGTTTTGTCCGTGTACAGATTTGAAAATGCAAAGCATCCCAGAAGCTGTAGTGTGTATTCTCAGCACACGTGCCATCATAATTTGACTGTTTGTGTTTTTTTGTAGATGTTCAAGCAGACTCCCTCCCCATTATATGGGGGAGGTAGTCAGCCATTTCTCAACCTTCTGCCTCACTGATTTGTCTCCTGAAGTTACTGGAAATTCTTTTGTTTTTCCTTTTTTGAATATAATTTAAATGTGAAGGTCTATTCTTTGCACTGTTTATAAATCTGTGTAATCTTTAGCAAGAAAAAATATGCTCCAAGCCTCCCTTTTCTCCTGTGTTCTGGTTTCTCTCCTGGGTACTGGAGTCAGGGGGAATATGCTTCCTGCTCCAAAATCTGCTTTTGGTTCAATGGCAGAGTTTGCTGAGGAACTCGCATCAATTAGGTAATTGGTTTGATCATTTATCTTATCTGAACTTTTGCGCACACAAAAAAAGTGTCCAGGGGGTTTCTTGACCACTTTCTCATTTGTTTCTTATAGCAAAACTTCTGCACCCCCACCCCATGCATACTTTCCCCTCTGCCTTTGAACATCAATTCCTTGGTGCAATAAATATCTGTTAAGGCAGCTTGTCTCGAAAAGCTAATGCACATTGTCTTGCTCCTGAAAGATTCCTATTGTTGAGACTGGTTGAAAGTGATTTTGAATTGTCAGTGCTCAGTGTTCCCATGCCATTATCTTAAGCACAGGTACAAAGTCAACAGGAGCCCACAGCTTTAGCACTGGATTTTGAAAAGCTTTTAGTGTTGACCTAATTCTGCTCCCATTAAAGTCAATGGTAACACTCCCATAGACTTCAGTGAGAGCAGAGTTGGGCCAATGCGAAGTGCTTTGGAAAAACTACCCTTAAGCTCTTCATCCCTTTTTCCTCCCTGCATCCACCAAGCTCCAAGCACCTATGCAAAATAATTTATTACTTCAATATAAAAACCTAGCTATATGGGATCAGGTAACTTACACGCTAGTGATAATACCTTTAATACAATCGTGGATATCACAGTAATAGGTACTATAGCGGTGGCTTAATAGAGCACTTTCTATTTGAGGATTCTTACTGTGCTTTACAAAGTCTCAAAGCTTCTGTACTTATTTCTCCACTGAACAACATTGCCTTAGGGTGTTACGGTTGTGGCACAAGTGGGAATAAAGCCCATGACCCGTTAGTCAGCCCCTTCCTCAACCACTCACCACACTGCCATTCAAGTTAAATGAGTTTTATCCGCAAAGAGAGAAGCACTAAAATTAAGGTCAGGTTATTGGATTTCATATTTTTTTGGCTATTTGTAAATAGCTTGGAGCTAATACTTCAAATAAAAATGGTACGTGAAATTGATTTTAAAAGTATGAAGTTGTTTCTTTGGCTTCTGACTTGATGTGGAACATCACGCTGTTTGCATTAGCGTTGATGGAACCCGTGGAGGTGAAGAAAGACTTAACCCCATAGTGTTTCTTTAACATGTAACGCAACACCCGGAGATTCACGTGGGCTAACCAGTGTTATAGCAGATAAACACCCAGTCTAATGTTCTGGCTGTTAACAGTCTTTCTCAAGGACGTATGGGTTTGCCTGCTGACCTTGAATTGTTCCGTTGTTTCAGACACAAAGCAACTTCCTCCCGTGCTACGTCCGACAAGAACTTCTCGTGTAGAATGAGACGGCTCATACCATATACAGGTTGTTTGGGTTTTTTTCTTCTAAAGTGGATACGTCTTTCAGGGACAGGACCGAGACCCACCAACTCATTTTAGTCACTGGGAAGCAGTGGGGACTACGCCATAGAGCACTGGACTGGGACTCCGGAGACTTGGGGTTCTATTCCTGGCTCCTCCTCTGGTTTGCTAGATGGCCTTGGGCAAGTCACTTTGCCTCCCTGTGCCTTAGTTTCCCCACCTGTAAAATTGGAGTAAATCACCTTTTTAAGTGCTTTGAAAACTGCAGATAAAAATGGCATAAAAGAGCTAAATTTTATTACTACACGTGCTACCAACGATCAGCTAACAACTTTAGATCAAGGCTGACCTAGCCCTAGGTGTCCACAAGTGACCTAGAGGTTAAGGTTTAATCATCACCAGTTCCCATGCATCTCCCAAGTCCCCTTTGTGTATTGTGGTCAACATGCAGCACACTGTATCTCACCTGTCCTGAAGAATCTGAGCATATTAAATCACATAATCCAGATTATTCTATGGTTTAACATGCCTTCCCTAGGAGTGATGAAAAATTACTCTCATTGTCTGTCTTCCTTGTAAAGAGTACTTGACTAAATTCTTATGTCTGGTACCAAAATTAGTAAATTGTCCTCTCCAGCATTGGCAGCCAGATTGAGGGTATGTCTATACCGCAATCGTGGGGGGTGATTGCAGCTCAAGTAGACATGCCCGAACTAGCATTAAGCAAGCTAGTTTGGGTACCAGAGCAATGAAGCCGTAGCAGCATGGATTTTGGGGCTGCTATACAAGCCCACCTGGGTAATCACTCTGGTAGCCAGCCTGCGCTGTAGCCTACTCTGCCATAACTTCACTGTTGCTTTTTCAGAGCTGGCTAGATTCAAGCTAGCTCCGGTACCTCTATATGCGTTGTGACCACAGCCCATGATTGCAGTGTAGACATACCCTTTAGGTACACACCAACCTTTGGGAAGAAACCCCCATACAGCAACCTGAAGTGTCTACCACTATTCAAAGGGAGTGATAGAGATAAATAGGATAATGGGATGAAATTTAAAGGGAAAATTTAATCTGAATAGTAGCAAATGTTCCCTGACAGGGAGATCTATTCTCCTTCAGAGTAGTCTCCCGGAGCCCCATTGTATGACATTTACAATTAGAATAGATTGCGCACTCTTCACAGTGGGGAGGGAGCAATCCTGCACGGGCAAAGCTGAAGGAAACCATCTGCTGGGTATTTTTCGTTCTTTAATTTCTCTGAGTCCTGGATCTAAGTCTAGGTTTAATTGTCAGGCAGATTTGAAATCGAGTCAGGAACCTCTCATGAAACACAGAAGAAGTTAAAGCTCCCGGTAGAGGAATGATTACAGGTGTAGGCACCAATTGTAAGGTTGATTTAGTTGGGGATTGGTCGTGCTTTGAGCAGGGGCTTGGACTAGATGACCTCCTGAGTTCCCTTCCAACCCTGAGATTCTATGAAGGTAGCAGGGCTGGGCCAGGCCAACAGTCCTGCATTAAGAACAGGAGTACTTGTGGCACCTTAGAGACTAACAAATTTAAGCAATAAAGGGAGGTATAATAGGGAGATGGGTGCTATCTTCCCTGGAGGAAATTACTATCTGGAAAAATCCGCTTTCCACCAGACTCCAACATCAGCTTCAGAAAACCTTACTTGGGGAAAGTATTTGACCCAGTTCCCATCTATGTGGTTATTTTGACCTTCACTTACTTGAGTTAGGACAAGCCTCTGGAAATTCTAGCCCACCTTTTTTGAATGATTTGCTTGTCTTGAGCCTCAGTGGGGAAAGTAAAATATTGTTACTTATTTGGTTAGCCATAATGTGCTCAGCACGGTACAATGCAGAACAAAACGATAGGCCCAGAGCCAAAAGAAAAAGCAAAATCTGGAAGATAGAAAGTTCAGTCCAAGTTGTCAGGAAAGCTGTAAAATCAAAGCAGCTCTAGTCATCATAGAATTTCGTGAGTCGGACAGAAGCTGAATTTTAAACATAAAACAATCAGAGGAGAAAAGGATACGCTCCGATTTTCGGTATTCATCATAAAGCAGCACACAGGAGTACAAGCCCAGTTTATTTTCCCTTTGCAGGTAATCTGTGAAGAGCCTTCTGAAGAGAGAGAGAGAGAGAGGTTTGTTTTGTTTTGTTTTTGCCTTTGGACTGAATCCAAATGCACTGAATGGCTGGTAGTATTAGAAGAATCTAGCCCTAGATTCCCCCTTGAGGGCTTTCTTCCCTTCAATAGACCGGGAATCAGGTTCACAAGTAGGGGGTTTGTCTCGGTAACCTACTGTAAGGCCCAGACCCTGCAAACCTTTCCTCCCGTGTTTGGCTTTACACACCAGTAGCCCCATAAAATCAATGGGGCTATGCACAAGCATGAAATTAAGCGCATGGGGAAGTATTTGTGGAACTGAAACCTAAATCTTCCTTTAAAAAAAAATAAAACAAAAATTTCCCCTTTTACTCCTCCTACTCAGCCAGCTTGTTTGATTTATTGGCCCCAATCCTGCACTACACTTACACATGTGCTGATTTTTTTTTATTTTATTTTTTTTTACTACTACTTAGTCCCATTGATTTCAACTGGGGACAAGGATCAGGGTCTTTGATTATAAGCAGTTTGGGCCAGAGACCTTCACTTATGGTGCACATACTGCACCTAGCACAATGAAGTGCTGAAATACTTGGTTTCTAGATGCTGCTGCAATGTAAATATTAACTAATTTTTGCCAAAATCCTTTGATTTTAAAACCAGCTCAATCCCACTCCCTCTTAGGGGTGGTGGAATCAGAGTAGAAATAAAATCTGAAGAAGATTTGGAATAAAACTTTTCTTTAAATAGTTTTTATTTTCCTCTCTGCCAAAGCTGAACTAAGCTGATTTATGAAAACTCAAACAAGACTTTGATGGAAAATTAACTTCATGGACATTTGAAGGGCTCTGACTTTGTTTAGTGTTTTAATCTCTATGCTGTTTAATGCTAATTCTGTAACACTATATAGAAGCTTTTTTTCCACTTGCACAAAGGAGGAAGGGGCTTGTTTCTTTTGCGGGTTGTTTTTTTTTCTTTCTTCCCCAGTGAAAAGTGATTCTGATCAGAACAGCCACAAATCCAGCTCCAACTTCCTGACATTTCCATCTAACTCTACCTGAAGGATTAGTTTTTTTTCTGCCACAAAGAAACCTCTCCACTTTTACAGCCCAGAATCTGATCTGTAGATTAATTTACCATTAATTAATAGAGCAAAAAGTTTTGATTGCAACTCAACACTATTCTGGCCCTAAAACAACACAGAGAAAAACTGAATTTTCAATTGAAAGAGCAAAAGGGATTGAGACATCATTTCAGACATCAGCAATAATTAGTAAAAGAGCACTGAAATGTATTCTTCATTGACATAAGTTTTCCCCCCCGGTTTATCAAGATTCAATTTAAAATTTCGGACTTAATTTCTTCCCTTCTCTGCAAAACAGGTTGGTATTTTTTTTATACTTTAAAAAAAATTGCTTTTTTTTTTTTTTTTTTTGGAACAAATTAAGCATTGTTTCTTTTATTTTCTGTCATGGTTCCCCAGAGGTACATCTTCTAGGTTTTAATGTAATACATTTATATTCTCCACTAGTCATTGTGTGTGTTCTCAATTAATAAATCCACAGCGACTTAGATTTAAGATCTATATAAAATTCTAGCATGATACTTGCTTCTTTTCTACAGTAAGGAATACAGCGGAACCCTTTCATTGTTAAATTAATTTTTCTCACCCCAGAACAACTTTGCTGTAAGCAAGATTATTTTTTCAATCTAATTGCAATTGACACGTTGAGAAGCATTGGAGAAGTGTGGAACTGTCATTCGACTTGATTATACATGGTGTTTCACTATTTCAAACATCATTATAATTGGATTCAAGTGTAAGTAATATGTAGATATATAGACAATGTATCTAGCTATATGCCTACGTTATATATGTTACATCTATATATATATTTAGAAATAGACATAGCTATATATGTGTACTCCTTCATTATATAAATAGGTGTATAGATGTATTTAGTTATATAGAGATGTAATGTCTATAATGTTGGAGTATAGACATAGATGTAATATAATGCATGAATAGATATATATTTAATATAGAAGTGTGATTATTATGTCTCTGTATAAATAGATCACTATATAATTTATACTTGAATCTGATCATACATATTTCATACACCCACAGTGTGCTTTGTGT